AGCAATGGATTTGATTTTTTTTTTTTTTTAGGCCAGCATTGCAACTATTACTCAAAGGATTACTTCAAATGGAAAGGTAAGAGCATTAAGAAATAAGTACAAACTAAACCTATGAAATATAGGTTGTATATTGATATTAATGGAGACACACCAACAGAAATGGGGGAGGGAGGAGCATATCAGGAATAGATTTATCAAGTTAAGATTGTATATTAACAGTTATTCTTATGCTAGACATGGTAACTCTAAGTCATGTAATGTAACATATGTGGTAACCACTAAGAAATCACCAAGAAGAAGCATTCAGAAGAAAAGAAGGAAGTTCACAAAAAGTCTTATCACAAGAAAAGACTCAAATACAAACAAAAACAGAAAAATCACTTTGATAAAACAAAGAAGTTACAAAACACTCAAAAAATAAAAAGTAAAATGAGTAGACACTTTGTTTTCAGTAATAACATTAAATGTAAATGGTCTAAACACCCCATGCAAAAGGCAGAGAGTGGCAAAATGGATTTAAAAAATTACCCATCTTTTTCCTGTCTACAAGAAACACACCTTAGACACAAGAACACAAACAGACTGAAAATAAAAGGATGGACAAAAATATTCCATGCAACTAGTCAACAAAAAAGAGAAGGGGTGGCCATAATAATATCAGATAAAATAAACTTTAAATCAAAATATGTTCCAAGAGTTAAAGAAGGACATTACACAGTAATAAAAGGGTCAATTTAACAAGACATCACAATTATATATGCACCTAACAGCAATGCACCAAAATACAAGAAACAAATGCTAACTGATATGAAAGGAGACATAGCCTACACTACAATAATAGTAGAGGACTGCAACACACCATTTTCAATTAGACACAGAACATCTAAAAGGAAAATCGCTAAAGATAATGAGAACTTAATAAAACCATAAGCCAACTGGACCTAACAAGCATATATAGAACACGCCACCCAACAGCAGAACAATACACATTCTTCTCCAGCACACGTGGATAATTTTCCAGAAAACACCATATGCTAGGTTATAAAACAAGTCTCAACAAATTTAAAAAGACTGAAATCTGACAAGGCATCTTCTCTGACCATAATGGTCTGAAGATAGAAATCAACAACAGGAAAATAAAATAAACACGTAGAAATTAATGTTGTTGTTATTGTTGTTAGGTGCCATCAAGTTGATTCTGACTCCTAGTGACCCTAAGTACAACAGAACGAAACACTGCCCAGTCCTGCACCATCCTCATAATCATTGATATGCTTGAGCCCATTGTTGCAGCCATAGTGTCAATCCATCTTGTTGAGGGTCTTCCTCTTTTTCTCTGTCCCTCTATTTTACCAAGCATGATGTTGTTTTCCAGGGACTAGTCCCTCCTGATAATGTGTCTCATCAGCCTCACTTCTAAGGAGCATTCTGGCTGTACTTCTTCCAGGATAGATTTGTTCATACCGGTGGAAAATATTCCAGTATCACAGCAACATGCAAGCCATCACAGTATGACAAACTGACAGACATGTGATGGGTCACAGAAGAAATCAACAGTGCAATTAAAAAATCCCTAGAATCAAACGAAAATGAAAACACAACATATCAAAATCCATGGGACACAGCAAAAACAGTATTCAGAGGGAAATTTATAACAATACATGCCTGCATCAAAAAAGAAGGATCCAAAATCATTAACTTAAACTGACAGCTTGTACAAATAGAAAAGGAAGAGCAAAAGAAGCTAAAAGCAACCTTTAAATTGAAAATAGAAAAACAATGGAAAGAATTATCAAAACCAGAAGTTGGTTCTATGAAACAATCAATTAAATAGACAAACCACTGGCTGGGTTTACAAAAGAAAAAAACCAGAAGAGGCAAACAGCCAAACTAAGAAATAAAATTGGTGACATTACAACTGATCTATCAGAGATAAAGACGATCATAATGGATTACAATGACAAACTATGCTCCAACAAATTTGAAAACCTAGATGAAATGGATAAATTCCTAGAAATACACCACCTAACCAAATTATCACAAACAGAGGTAGAATATTTAAACAGATTCATCACAAAAGAAGAGGTTGAAGATGTCATCAAAAAACTACCCACAAAAATAAATTACTTAATAAACTCAGGACCAGAGGGAGAATTCTACCAAACACTCAGAGAAGAGTTGACACCAATCCTACTCAATCTCTTCAAAAACATAGAGGAGGAAGGATCACTACCAAATCCCTTCTGTGAAGCCAGCATAACCCGGATACCTGGAGGGAATAATGCTAAGTGAAATGTCAAGCATATAAGGACAAATATTGTATGATCCCTCTTTTATGAGAAGACAAGAGCAGATAAATATAGAGAAACCAATGTTCATTGGCAGTTACCAGGGAGAAGAGGAGGGGAGGGGAAAGTACACTTTAGAACGTACAGACTTGTTACTTTTGGTGATTAGAAAAATGGCAGCAAGGGTGGAAGTAGTGAACACAGCACAACCATAGTAAAGACGATTGTGTGAGCACAAACAGAAGGGTATAGGCACAATTAAAGAGAATACTGACAAATTGTGATACTTGTAACTAATGTCAGTGAACAATTTTTGTGGAAATAGTAAAAAAAAAAATTCATTGGAGGATGTATGACTTTTCAATAACAGTAATAACAACTGAGAAATATGTATATGTTTACATAGATAGATGTGTATGCATTTATATGTACAGGACAGCATATATGAATATATGAAAGTGTATGTATGGGTGTAACTGTAGACATATGTATATACATATTTATGTGAGCTGAATATAGTTTCAAATATAAAACAAAGCACATGGGGGCACAGTTATGGACACTACTAGACAAAACCAAACACCTCCTGGGATAGGTTTACTGGGTTTGAAGGCTTAGGACCATAGTCTTGTGGGGCAGTCAATTGGCAATGTTCACCAAAGTGAGTAGCATCTGAGTCTTAAAAGCTTGAGAGTGGACATCTAAAATACAACTATCAGTCTCTACTCGTCTGGAGCAAAAGAGACAAAAGGAAACCAAAGACTCAAAGAAAAAACTAGTCTGAAGAACTAATAGTCTGCACAAACAACGGCCTCAACTATCTTGAGAACAGAAGAAATAGATGATGCCTGGCTGTCACTACTAACTGTTCCAACCAGGGATTCAATAAATGGTCCCAGATAGAATGGGAGAAAAATTTAGAACAAAACTCAAATTCCTAAAAAAAAAAAAAAAAAAGGCCAGATTTACTGGACCAGTAGAGACTGGACGAACCCCCAAGTTTATCACCCTGGGATACCCCTTAAATTTAGAACTTAAACCACTCCCAGAGGTCACTCTAAAGCCAGGTGACAGATCAACCCGAAAAATAAATATCACCTATGAGTACTGTGCTTCTCTAACTAATCATCTGGATGAAACCAAGTGGTAAACATTTTCCCTAGGCCAAACATGAGAAGGTAAGGGGGTACAGGGAAGCTAGATTAAGGGAAACAGAGCAACCAGAATGGAAACAATGAGAATGCTGATATATTTTGAAAACTGTAACCAAAGTCACTGAATATTATGTATACAAATTGTTAAATAAGAACCTAATTTGTTGTGTAAACTTTCACCAAAAACACAATAAAATAAAATTAACTGGGGTTAGAAATTTGGGAGGACAGTTCAGAGGCAAGCAACGTTTAGGATGAAAATTTTTTAATGAAGAAACACAAGAATTACAAAAGTGGAATGTGAACACATCTTTCCTCAAGCCTTAGGAGCTCTAATCTTTTAGCTCAGGTTCAGTGGCACATTTTTTCAGGAGAAATGGTAAAGACTTGTCAAAAGCATAAATTTCAGCCTTGAACATTATTCTTCCAATCTTTTACTAAGAGTCTCTTGTTGCCATTACAAGGATCACTCCTGGTCATTTGGTTGCTTATGAATGGTAGGCCAGTTCTGTAATAGATTTCCTAGTCCACACTTGAATAATAGCGTGTTCAAGCTATATTTGTTCCTGCTCACTTGGTAACCCAGAGAGAACCATGAGATACTCTCTTTGAATAGCTATTTATACTCTTTCTGAATATTTTTTAAAAATAACTTTATGTATATTTTATCATATGGAAAATTTAATATATTTCATTATAGCTTTATATCTCTTCATTTACAGCATGTTCTGTAATAAATTTTCTTTTGTAATTTCTACATTTCGTAGTTGCTCTTTAGTTATAAGCCTGGTTTACATAAAATAGAAATCTTTTGCATTTTTATTAATTTATTCATAAACCAGTATTGATCTCCTTTTTAGCTCTGAAATATCCAATCCATTTTATAATCTTTTAATTTTCACATCTTTTCTTTGCTGTATAAAAATAATGACTATTGTTTAGGAAATAATTGAGGTAAAAAATAATTATCATACACACTGAGCAGTATAAGAATTTAAATCTTCTGGTCTCAAAACATTTGATTAATTAGTAATAGTAAAGTTTTTCTGAATTGTCTTTCTATGAATTATCCCAAATTTCACCTTCCAATCCTATCTAAATCCAAAAATCCTAGTACTAACTAAATCTGAAAGTGGATGTGCAAATCTAGGTGTTAGAAGCCTCAGATTCTCAGTTACCTAGGTAATTATTTTCATTCTGTTTATTCCTCCAGGAGTATATGTAGACACTGAGAAACCTAGTGGACATGAATATAGGTACGTATACAGATAATAGGACGTATGTCTTTGAGAATCACTGCCTAAGAGAAGAGCATCCAACCGTTTGTTTTACTGAAACTGAAGTCTTCAATAACAATCAAGAAAGACACTACACTGCAAGACTGGATTCACTCCTCCTCAATATTTTCATTATTCTTACAGCAAGTGTTTCCCATGAAGAACTGAACAGGTCAGAACAGAGTCCTTGAGGAGAACTTTCACAGTGGGTCTTGAAAACATTAATTAAACTGAAAAGATTTGTGGAATGTTTAATTAAAGAGGCTAATTTCCAAGAATAGTCAAGAAGAACTTGAATTTCCTAGATGGTGCATGAAAGAACTCTTCCTGAGACTTAAAACTTTACCAAACACTCTGCTCATTGCCACTTTCATCTCCTTATTTCTAAATGTGTAGATGATAGGAATCATAAAAGGAGTGATAAGGGCATCAAAGATGGCTAAAAATTTATCTATAGGTAAGGTAGGGAATGGCCACACATAGACAATAATGCAAGGACCAAAGAAAAAGACCACCACCGTAACGTGAGCTAAGAGAGTGGAGAGAGCCTTGGATGAACCACCTGAAGAGTGTTTACGGACAGTGACCAGTATGAAGATGTAGGACACGATCAAAATGAAGAAAGTGCCCATGGAGATGAAACCACTGCTGGCAGTGACCAAAAATTCTAGTCTCTATGTATCTGTACATGTAAGTTTGATGAACCGAGGACAATCACAATAAAAACTGTCCATTTTGTTGGGACCACAAAGCGGTAAGTTTACAACAAAAGCCAGTTGGACCACAGAGTGGATGAGGCCAATGGTCCAAGCAACAGCAAAAAGAGAAATGCACACTCTCAGGCTCATGATGGTCAGGTAGTGGAGGAGCTTACAGATGGCAATGTATCGGTCATAGGCCATGACTATGAGAAGCACCATCTCTGTACCCACAACTGTGTGAATGAAGAACATCTGAGTAATGCAGTCTTTCAAGGAGGTAAGCTTACATTTTCGGAAAAGGTCATAAATCGTTTTGGGGGTTGCAACACTGGAAACACCTGTGTCGATGAAGGAGAGATTTGCCAGTAAAAAGTACATGGGGGAATGTAAGTGATGATCTGAGATGATTGTGAGCATCATGAGAAGGTTACCCAGCATACTTGCTATATAAAATATCATGAAAAACAGAAAAACAAGAATCTGCATCTTCCAAGAACTGGTAAATCCCAGCAACAAAAACTCAGACACCACCAAATGATTTCTTCCATCCATCAGCTTTATGTGCACGGCTGAACCTGGAGTTACCTGAAGAGCATGAGCAAGGAAAACATAATTTTTGTGTTGAAAGGGTAGGCCCTGACTACAGAGTGACACAAAAGTCAAAAATTGAGGATCCTCTGCCATTTTACACAGTTGCTTAGAGTTCACATAGTAGAAGATCCACAGAGCCAGCACCAGACTTTTCTCCATGCCTAGATCTGCGGTGCCATCTCATTATGTAACCTCAGGTTGAGTTTAGGCTTGAAAATGTAATAAAAAAGGGAAAGCGTAGAAAAAAAGCACCTAAGAATTTAAGGAGCCGCAACCAGGAAGTAGAGCAATTTATGCCGCCTGATTTCTACACTGAAAAATGTCACAGAATGAAAACGTGCAAAAAAACACAGAGGTGTCTGGAGAGGTACTTAAATTTACTCTTTTTAATGACTGCCTAACATTCACAATGTGAATAGATCATTATTTATTAATTCCTGCACTATTAGACATTTACCTTGTTTCTACTTTTTTTTTACTTCTACAGATAATGCTATAAATAAATATTCTTACACCTATATCTTTGCATATTAATGCTTTTCTTTTAATGGCATGAATTTCCATAAGTGGGATTGCTAGGTCAATATATATATATACATATATATATAGTGCTTTAGGTGAAGGTTTACAGAGCAAATAAGTTTGTCATTAAACAATTAGTACACATATTGTTTTGTGACTTTGGTTGCCAACCCCACAACGTGTCAACACTCTCCGCTTCTCGACCTTGCGTTTCCTATTTTCATTTGTCCAGCTTTCCTGTCCCCTCCTGGCTTCTCATCCTTGCCTCTGGGATGCCCATTAAGTCTCATATACGTGGTTGAGCTACATGTATTATTGTTTGTTTTATGGCCTATCTAACCTTTGGCTGAAGAGTGAACCTCAGGAGTGACTTCAGTACCGAGTTAAAGGGTGTCCGGGGGCCATACTCTCAGAGTTTCTCCAATGTCTGTCAGACCAGTAAGTCTGGTCTTTTTATGTGAGTTACAATTTTGTTCTACATTTTTCTCCAGCTCTGTTTGGGACCCTCTATTGTGATCCCTGTCAGAGCAGTTGGTGTGGTAGCCAGGCACCATCTAGTTGTGCGGGACTCAGTCTGGTGGAGACTGTGGTAGTTGTCGTCCATTAGTCCTTTGGACTAATCTTTCCCTTGTGTCTTTGGTGTTCTTTATGCTCCCATGCTCCTAACAAGGTAGGACCAATGGAGTATCTTAGATGTCCGCTCACAAATTTTTAAGACCCCAGATGCTACTCACCAAAGTAGGATGTAGAACATTTTCTTTATAAACTATGCTATGCCAGTTGAGCTAGATGTCCCCCTAGACCGTGGTCTCCAGCCCTCAGCCCAGTAAATCGGTCCCTCAGGGAGTTAAGATGCATCTATGAAGCTTCTATGACTTTGCCTTGGTCAAATTGTGCTGACTTCTCCAGTATTGTGCACTGTCTTACCCTTCACCAAAGTTACCACTTACGTATTGTCTAGTTAGTTCAACATGTATATATTTTAAATTTTAGTAGAGTTGCCTGATTGCTTTCCAAAATGACTGTAAAATATATTTGCACAGGAATAGATGTTTTTCCTGGGTGGCACAAACAATTAAGCATTTGACTACAGCCAAAAGTTTCAAACCCACCCAGAAGCACCTCAGGAGACAGGCCTGGCAATCTGCTTCTGTACCGTCACAGCCTTGAAAACTCTGTGGAGCAGCTCTACTCTGTACATATGGGACCACTATGAGTTGGCATCAACTCAACAGCAACTAACGACAACAACATAGTGGGTGCAAAGTAATATCTCACTGTTGCTCTAATTTTCATTCCCCTGACAACCAATAAGTTTGAACATCTTTCCATTTGTTTGCAGTTTGGAGTTGCTCTTCTGTGAATTGCCTGTTCATGTTGTGTCCTATTTCCTTCTGTGCTGTCTTTTTCTTGTCCATTTATAAGAGCTTTATTTATAATATAGATATTAAACCTTCGTCATATGTTACATGTGTTGTTTGCAAATCAGTTGTCTGTTAACCTGTTTATGGTTCATTTTGCTATATCAGAGTTTTTAATTGTGACATGATTAAGCATAGCTATTGTTTCGTTTATAGCTACTGAGTTTTAATCTTAGTTCATATCGCCCCTCCCTTTGGGTTGTACATGTACACTCTTAGATTTTCTTTCAATATTTTATTTTTTCCATTTAGGCCTGTGCACCATTATTTTTGTATATGTTTTCAAAGAGAAGTCCAATCTTAATTTCTTCCCAGTAAATAGAATCATGACATCACCATGTACAAACTGCCCCATTCTTTCCCCACTGAACTTAACCACTACTTTTGCCGTATGTTAAATTCTCAGAGATTTTGGGTTCTGCTTATAGAGTCTTTATTCTGTTTCTATGGATCTATTTGTGAATTTCTGAGCAAATGTTACTGTGATTTGATAACAGTGACTTTTCTATACTATACTTTTCTCACCGTATCTCGCAGGGCAAGTTCCTCCTTTATTGTTCTTTTTCATACTTTCTTAAATATTCTTGAATACGTATTACTCCACATAAACTTTAAGATCATTTTACTCAATCTTCCCAAAAAATTCCATTGGAATTCTGATTTGAATTGCTTTATAGTTATATATTAATTTTGGATGAAGTGGCATTGCTATGACTTAAGTCTTCCCATCCAAGAATATGGTACATCCATCCATTTGTTCAAACCTTCTTGCTTGTCCTTCAATAAAATTTTATCATTTCTGTTTCATATATTCTATGTCTTCTTTGTTAAAATTATTGCCATGTATTTTATAGCTTTTTTTCTTGGCATTATAAATAGAATACCTTTTCACATTTCCATTTTTAGGTTCTTCTTGCTAGAATGTAGAAAAGTTTTTGGTTTTTTTTTTGTTTGTTTATTTGTTTGTTTTCTTTGATATATAGCCACCTTACTACATTCTGTTATTGGGTCTAATCCTTTTTTTTTTTTTTTTAACTGAAGTTGCTTGGGTTTTCCAGGTTTACAATCATGTCATCAGCAAAAAGAGATAATTTAGTTTATTTTCTTAATTTTTGCTGGTTTGATTAAGATACTATTCATTTCACCATACACACACACACACACACACACACACACACTTATTAATATGGAAGCCCTGTTATACTTTTCTATTCTTTTCAGGGTTACCATCCCTTTCCCAGTCACATATTTCTCTACTCTTACTTTAAAATAAGATGCCAATTATTTCCCCTAACAATATGTTCTATTTCCCATCTACTTTTCCCAACATTACTGAAATCCTGCAATACAGGACATCAGACCTCACTCCATCTAGTCTGATCATGGCTACCAGATTGCTCTTCCTAAGAAGCATCTTGATTATATGACTAGCCTGACCAAAACATGTTCAGAGGTTCCCATCACCTCAAAAGTACAAAGTTCTGGTTTAGAATGTACTTCTATAATTTGTCTCCATACCATCTTTCCAGTTTTCTCTCTCTCTATGCCCTTACCTTCAAGAAATGCTCATTCCCCTTTCACATCTGCTCTACTGCAGTGACCTCCTCCTGAACTCATTGAAGTCTGACTTCTGCCCCTTTGCTTTACTGAAACTGGTCCAGTGAAGACCAACAAATACTTCAATGTAGCTAAATCTTCATTCTCATGGTCTGTGCATCATTTCAAACTCTTCACCCTTTCTTACCTTCTAAGAAATAATGTGGATAGTAGAATGTGCAAAGACTGTCATCTCTCCCTATTAGCAAGTTCTATAAGCTGAACCTAAAGAGATACTTCTTCAAATAAGAATTCTGACTAGAGTCATTAACCTAGGGAAGGACATAAATCATTGTAGCGTAGAAGTCAAAGGGCAGATCATGCCCTAAATACATAGTGTACAGCTTAACCTTAAATATATCCAAATGTATAAATTCTACAACCTACTTTGGACATTCTTCTGAGTGTTCCATAAATGGCTTTGTTCACTCCTCTCCAAACCCTCAGGGATAATTTACTTAGGATAATTATTTAGGACCATTTACTTCTGATGAATCTTCAGTTGAATTGGAAAACCATTATTCTCTACCAGATATTGATCATCTATATATGTGAAGAGATGCCAAAAGATCATTAACTAAATCCACTGGTCAATGACTCATCCATATAACTTTTAAGAAAGCTCTTAACCTCCCGTTAATCTTATGGTATCCAAAGTAAATGAATGTTTCTTATTATTAATGACATTTATTTTCTCATCTTTTCTTAACATGTTAGCAGTTTTTCTTTGATCCTCTTCATTATCTACACATCATTTTCTAATGTGCCAACTAATCTTGATTATACACCTTTAATAAGAATTTGTCAAAATTAAATATTTTACAGTTATTTCCTAAATCTTGCAGGTCATACTTCTGTTAATTTTGATATCTTATTGGATTTAAGAAACATTAATATTATAATATAATTGTCCTATATTATATAGAGTTATAAAGTTGTCTGAAATAAAGTTATTGTAAGTTAGAATATGATTAATCCTGATGATATTGCTCCCAGTTGTATGGGTTATAAACACATGTGAATTGATAATTTTCTTATCCTCTCACATAATTGCAACTAACACAATTTCTTCAAGTTCTATCCTACCATAAATGTTGCTCTTTATTTTTTATCTTTTTTTTGTTAATAATCTCTTCTAGGATAGAAATGCCAAAATTAATACCACTACTTAGCTTTTTAATTAGCTTTTTTCCTTTAAAAATCTTTCACTATAGTGGCATAATAGCCAGCAAAGTATGTAGTAAAGATAATATGATCCATATTATACATGTTTAAAAACAAAAGCTCAAAGAGGTTAAATGAATTGCCTAATTTTGCACAGCTAAGTTTCATTTGCAAACCTAATTCTTGCAATTGTTTAAAAAAATACAAATGAAAAGGGTACCTGAAGAAAATGTCAAAAAATTTTAACAGGTGCTGTCT